ATAAAAAAAAAAAAAAAAAAAAAAAAAAAAAAGAGAAACGACGACTGAAACGCTGTGATAGCGTGTGCGACACAATGTGGTGTGATTTCTTTCATTAGGGAGCTTTCAATCTACTATGGGGATAAGTTCAACCAGAGTAAATAGTAACTAATGCAGTCGTGTCAAATGAAGAATGTGGGTGTGAACAGGACTGAGAGTACAGAGGGGCTCAGGGAAAAGTTTGTGGAGCTGGTGGATTTCAGCTGGGCCTTCGATGAAAGGCAATAGGGAGCCCTTGAAGATGTTTGAGCTGGGAAGGGTTAGGGTCAGAGCTTGGTGCGGGTGGGTGCGGGAAGGCTGCCCAAAGGAGGAAAAAGGGAAAGAAACCCCGAGCAAGACTTTTAGACTCTCAGTCCTCAGGGTGAATAAAGCATCGCTCTAAGATTTCTCTACCAGGTAATTTGCAGGGGAGTACCTAGATTTCTCACTGGCACAGCGATCCCTGGCACTATGCTTAGAAGGCAAGTTTACCAGCCCCTTGACCTCGAGGGCTAGCCCCATTTCCTTTTTCCAGAGCCTAAGAATAATAAGGTGCTCTCCCAGAGACCAGCTCCCTTTCCCCTCCCACCACAGTGGAGGAAGGGCCATTTCCATGGAGCACAAGGATTTGAGGAGAAGACAGTGCCCGGCAGAGGGCTGAGGGCGAAGGGCAAGGTGTGCGACCTGCTCAGAGCAAAAAGTTCTAACGCGTTTCTGTCCAGCGAAGTCTTCTTTCTTAGAATTCTTTCTGCAGGAAAGGAAGGATTCAGGTCACATTTCTTCTGGGGGTGGGTGCTGGCTGTGGAGGACTAAACGGAAAACATGGGGAGAGAATGGGGCAGGTGAAAGGTTCCTCTGAAAAAACACTCTGTCCTGGATGATGGGCGTCCCCTCCCTAAAAAAAGGGAAGGGAAGGGGAGGCGTGGGGAGGGGACTCTGGCTAGGCAGTGCTTTGCAATCAGTGTGAATGACACTCCGGTAGGCTGTGATGGGAAATGGGTTGCAGATGTGTCCCTCTATGGAAGTCTTCGGACCTCTGGGGGTGCTGGTGGCAGCCTCAGCAGTGCGTCCCCACGTGCTTCACAAACATTAGTGCTTGCCTTGTGGCCACGGTGAGAAAAAGAAGCCCTCTGTAAGAAAGGCAGAATGGCAGCAGCCTCCAGGTAGAGGGTGTGTGTGTGTGTGTGTGTGTGTGTGTGTGTGTGTGTGTGTGTGCGCGCGTGTGCATCAGTCAGGGCGGACAAGAGGTTAGATGGGAAAGACACTCTGTGGGGAGGCCCCTCCTTTGATGGGGGTGCAGGTGGGTGCAGCAGAACCCCAGCCTCCAGGACCGGGGAGGGATGACTACCATGGACGTGGGGAAACCTGGACGTGACACCACCGCCCTCCAACAATGTAGACATCGCACTTCCCTGTCCTCTGGGATTGTCACTGCCGGACAGTATGGGCCTGGAAAATGTGGCGTGAGATTCTTTTCCCCCAAAATCGCTTTTGCAGCGAAGGTCAGTGATGGAGGTATTGATGCGGGGCGCGCCAGGGCATCGAAGAGCGACTGCGTGTGTGTCTGTTTGGGGTTGGGTGTGGGGGGATGACTGGAGAAAACAACGATGCCAGAAACATCCCTTGCCTTGGGGTTCAGGGGGTGCAGAGAAGATCAGCTTCTATCCTCCTTCTCTGAGAGGCCAAGCTGGGGTAAGAACACGCCTCCGCGCCACTCAGAGTGTGATCTGGACCTGCTGCCTCAGCTGGGAGCTTGAGAAACAGGCCGAATGGCAAGCACCAGTCTAGACGTGCTGACTCAGAATCTGCAATTTAACAAGGCTCCTATTCTTCTAGAGGCGCTGCTCCACTCGCTCAGGGAAGCCCTTTCCCCATCCCCACCCCCTCCCTGGCTCCACCTCCACGCCCCTCCCCAGACCTCGGATGCTGGGCTCTGCCGGCCTAACTTCTCTGCTCTTGACTTTCCACCCCATTATAGAAATCCACTTCTGAACCTCTCCTTTGGTGTTTCCCACAAGCACCTCAAGATTCACAGTTTTCAAGCCAGAAGAGCTTGGAGAGCACCGACCCAGTCCCGGGACCATTTTGCAGATGTGGAAACAGGCGTGCAAAGTGAAGTGATTTGCTCAAGGTCATAAGGCATAGACTACAACTCTAGCCTCCTAGATCACTGTAGGAATTAAAGGGTTTTAGCATTTAGGGGTCATCAACGTCCAGCCTTTGATCTCATATACAAGGAAACTGAGGCCCAAGAAGCAGCAGTGGGATTGGTCCAAGGTCCGGGTGGTACATGGCAAAGCCAAGATACTCATGGTCATAACATCATCATCAACAACAACAGCTAATCCATGTGTGCTCTCTTGACGTCATGATTCGAGCCATATCTGCACTAGCATGAATCCCTACAACAATCACACAAGATATGCCTTTTGCAGATGCAATTCAGTGCCATCCAGGATTTGAACCCTGCTCTATGGTTGCAAGGTCGACAATCCCATCCTGACATTAGAACCCAGGTCTTTTGGCACCAAGCCCAGTACTACTTTCATCACTTTGGCTGTATTATTGATTTTGTTTATTAAATTCAACAAATATTTTCTGACCACTTATTGTGGTGCAATAAGTGTATTTCATGTATGTGATCAGGTCCCCCAACTAAGCCAACAGGGGGGATTGGTCTTGTACCATACTCTGTGCCTCATGCCAGTGCAGAGAGGTGCCTCCTGTGTGGAACCTGTTTGGTAAAGACTTGCCGACCCTCAGCTCTGGGCAATCTCACCCCCCTGCACTTGGTCACCTGCATCATGGCCTCTGTGGTTCTTGGTGGGTTTATATATATATATATATATATATATATGTTTTGGTTTATTGGCCCTGGGGCATGTGGGATCCTAGCTCCGCCACCAGGGATAGAACATGCACCCCTGGCATTGGACGATGAACTCAACCACTGAACCGCCAGGGAAGTCCCCCTAAATTATATATATATATATATATATATATATATATATATATATATATACAGTTGTTAAAAGTTACTTTCCATTTACAGTTATTACAAAATATTGGCTATATTCCCTGGGCTGTACAATACATTCTTGTGGCTCTTGCTGTTTGAATCCCATAGCTTTACTTGGGGACACAGCCAAATTGCAGTGGAAGTCAGGCTACAGAGTCCAGAGCCCTGATTTCACACTATGAGAGAGCTGGTCTGGTCCCTACCCTCCAGGACTCGCATTCTGAGAAAACCTTGCACACAGACAGCAAGGATGAGCCTAGTAGCAGCTGGACAGAGTGACGGGCCTCAGTTCAGGAGCTTCTAGAATGTTCTGGGCACAGAGCAGGGGGATTAGTCAGAGAAAACGCCACAGAAGAAGCTGTGGGACCATTTCCTATGGGAAGGCTTGGAGGAAAGAATAAGCAGGAGCAAGTAAAACGCACAGGGCAGAGCAACCCCTGCTGCACCAGTGGGAGAGCGGCCCGGTTGAGGGCACAGCCCACAGTAGTAGCTCAATTTGAAAAAATACAGGCACCAACAACTCTATCACTGACATACCAAGTTGTCTCTGGCATTAATTTATTTTCTCATGCATTCATTCAGGAAACATGTCTTGAGCCCCTACTGTGTGCCAGTTACTGTTCTGGGTATCAGGGATACAGCAGCGAACAAAACAGAAATTTCTGCCCTCGTGGCGTTGACCTCCTAGTGGGGAAAGACAGACAAACTCATAAACAGGTAACAAAGATAGTATGTCAGGTGCGATCAATACTCTAGAAACAAATAAAGCAAAACGGGAGCATCGAGGTAGGCTGCAACTTAAAAAACAGGGTGGGATCAGGAAAGGCATAGGTGAGAAGGTGACGTGTCAGCAAGGATCTAAAGGAGGAAATCGGAGAGCTGGGGGTTCAGGCAGGGGGTGGCTGA